CTTGTTAGGGAAGGAGGAATCCCTCCTCTCGTCGCCTTGTCGCAGACCGGAACTGCTAAAGCTAAGCACAAGGTGAGTTTCCTGTTTGATTCCATTGGAAGGAAATCTTGATCAATTACTTATGCTTATTTTTTACCATAAAGATTGAATTTTTATCCTTTATATGTCATTTAATCGCCATTTACCCTTTGAATTATAAGTAGGTATTACTTAGGTGTAATTGTTAGACATGAATGGAGTTTAATGGAGATTCAAAATGATTATTACAACCAAATCCTACTAATTGAGATTGATATTTAGTTGATTGATTGATTCATGTATACCTTTGGGATGAGAAAAATAGCAGTTCATTTGAATAATGGTACCAACTTATAACAAATATTAAGGTCGAACTTCAAATTTATGTTTTGAAATTAGTAGTGAAATATGTCAAGATTCACTTCTAAGTTCTAAAAATAGTCACATGGAGTGTTCCCATTTTTGGGTATATCTTTGGTAGATGAACATGGAAATGATGAGGGGAAAAAAAAGGAATTTTGGGTATGGACCTTTATAGTTGCCATGTGCCATTAATGAATACTGTGTTTTCTTGAATTTGTTAGTGTCATATTTTGAAAATTGGTGCTTGTTATGATATAGACACTGAATGCTGGTAACATGATTGCTTTCAGTGATTGTGATGCATGATCTTGCGCATGCATTTTTATAGTCGTCTTTTATCGAATGATTTAATCTTAATGAAGCTTTGGTTGTTTTCGGCAGGCAGAAACATTACTGACATACTTGAGGGAATCAAGACAAGAAGCTTCTACTTCAACTCCTTAGCGAGGTAGCTTAGATGGTCTTCTACATTTGAGTATTTTCTGTTTATAGGAAGTGATTTGAAGAGTTTGTACAGAGTGGTTTATAAATTTAAAAGTTCATAACATATGTCAAGGTAATCAAGAAAATAAATATCAAGTTAGTTTAAGGAAACTGACCTATTTAGGTAAATTTTTAACCAAGTTATTACATAGGAGCTGGCAAGGGTGGTGGGAAGGGTTCTCATGTCCCTTTTGAATTATTATCTGTGAGGTTGTTTGGTAAGAATTTGATAATGATCCCTTAGTTTTGTTTGGGTGGTCCTAATTCTTCTGAAAGAGTTACTAATTTTCTGATTCTTTAGTGTGTAAAAAAGCTACTATTTCAGTATGCTTTAGTCTTTTTTGGTTCTTGAACAATATGTCCAGTAATGAGATATTTTCTTGATTTTCTATGACTGAAATATGTCAAAGCTCAATTTTTTTCTTCAAGGTTGGGTTGTTGGCATTTTTACAGCTATTAAATTTGTGTCTCCATCTATACAACTAGAAGAGTGTCAGATGTTTATATTTTCCTTTGGTGTGAATACAGAGGGTATAGCAGCCCCACCTCTCCTTATTAGCATCATTTTTCCTAATATATACTTGTAATTATCTTATTATGCTTATATTTGTCTATATCCCTAGTGCATTATGACTTTTTAGCTGGCAGAGTTTGCTTAAGCTTTAGTCAATTGAGATGTGTTCAAAGGTATGCTTAAATGAGTTGGTTAGCCACACCATGTGGTCCTCCCAACCCTTTTTGTTTTACACTGGTATACCAACTAGTTGGTGCGAATTTCGACTATTCAAACCTGATGCCTGTCACTTGCTGTTCGGATTTGACCTTGAGAACTCATCGTTCTTCTTGTACTTTATAACCTTTGCTAAGATTTGACCAAATTCGAACCTGGAAATTTATGGTTCTTCTCCCACTTTAAACGGAGGATACATATTATTTCTCACCTGCATAGGTATTGGTGCCTAATATTTTTTGCCTACGGAATATGAACTGAGAACTCATGGTTCTTCTCTCACTTCATTGACCACAAGACCATTTCATCGGGCGTGTGTCCCCTCTTCTACATTTTTTTTGATAATCCAACACTTAATTCTATTTGGCTCCCATAAAGTTAAATTCAGGTGATAGTGAAGTAGTTTTTGTTAATGTATCATGCCATGGGACCCTTTGGAATACTAGTAGTATCTCACAACTCTCAAAATGTGGCATATGATATGTTTGATAAAGTTCTCTCTGAGTCATTAATCATTTAGTAGTACAAATAGAGGGTTGTGACAGTTGAAATTTAATTGTTCTCTCCACTTTTATATGGACCAAAATGAGCACTGCATTTGCTCAAAGGCATGGGGTGGAGGTGGGGGGTCCTTTTGAATTATTACTCCTTGTTGTAAAGGGTATAGAAGTTGCTGTGGATTGGTCCTACTTGTAGCCAATGACCTATGCAAAATGGTGTAAACAGTGTGGGCTCTTTTTTATTTTAAAAAAAAATGATAGGTGATGTCCAAGCCAGCTTGTGATGACTTCGAGTATTTCTCGAGATATCTCTCACCAATACAAGTAATCTTGTCGACCAATATTTAGATAGATGGTAGAAATCATCTAAGGTATTTTACCTTCGCTAACTGATGATCCTGCATGTATTTCGTGTGTATCCCACTGGCGATTTGAAAAACCTCGTGAATTGGTTTGGGTTCCACAGACCCCCCCCCCCCCCCCCCCCCACCCACGACCCCGCAGCACCCCACACCCCCACAC